GTTTCCGTTTCTGAATAATCAAGCTGCCAAAGCAGTTTCTTCACTGAAAGTTTGAAAAATGGGATCGGGAAAGGAATGGTGCACATATCCATGTATAATAAACGAATGAACATTTCACCTTACCATCCTCACTGGCACAACCCCCAGCCCTGTCACCAGAGTAGAAACATTTCTGGTTTAATGCAGAAAAAGGGTGTAGAACTGGAATGTATTGGCAAGTGCTGCATTCCTTGTGTAAAATACAAACAAGCAGGTACGTGAAAGACAACTGCACCTGCTTTAAATTCCATGCTTCACACTCTTATCAGTTCCACAGCTGCTCAAGTATCAGCTTGTTAGCACTGTCGTAGAAAATTGAGAGGTACAGCCTCACTCTAGCGCCAAGTACATCTACCAGAATGGTACTTCATTAGAATAAAAAGGAAATTAGGAAAGCAAAGAGAGGGTATAAAAACATATTCGTAAGGAAAATGCAAGGTGTTTTATAAATAGATAGGAATATAAATAAAGTAAGTAGGGCTGTTAAAGAGCTAAAAGATCACTAGTGAGTCAAGGCAAAGGGTTCCTAATGAGCACTTTTCATCTATCTTCACAAAAGAGAGGGATATTATAGACACTGCAGTTGAGAAGTATGAAATAGCAAAAATGAAACAGAAAATACTATGAGACTGCATAATTATAGGGCACTCAGCTTAATTTCAGTGGTGGGAAATTTTCAGATTAAGGTCTGAGGGACGGTATAAATTGTCATCTAGAGAGGCACGAATCAATCAACAGTCGGCATGATTGGGCTAATGAAATTGATGATTGAATTTTTTGAGGAGTTAAAAGGGGGATTGATGAAAGTCGAGCCTTTGATGTGGTTTATATGGATTTTAGCAAGATATTTTGAGGTTGCAAATGGCAGACCAGTAAGAAAAGTTCAATGTAAATGGGATCAAAGAGAAAAGAGTTAGGTTGAACAAAAATTGATCAGTGGAAAGAAGCAAAAACAGAAGGGCAATAGAGTTTTTTTTTTAAATTATTGGACAATTGTATCCTGTGAGATTTTGCAGTATTAAATCCCTTGCCTTTTGTGCTTATATACCACTGACTTAAACTTAGATGAAAGGGTCATGGTTAAGAAGTTCACAGATATCATGGATATTGGCCTTGTGATGGTGAGAATGCTGTAGACTACAGGGAAACAACAATGGACCCGTTAGGTGGTAGAAAAATGGCAAATAGAATTCAAATCGGGAAAAAATATAAACTGATGCATCTGGAAAGTGCACGCAAGGCAAAGGAATACATTCCAAATGGAAGAAACGTTGAAGCACCTTCGAGTCCATGTCTACCTATTCTGGAAAGGTAATAGAACAGATAAATAAGATACTTAATATATAGGATACTTTACAGGGGAGGCATAGACTATATTAACAGAGGTTATTGCTGGAACTGTTCAAAAACACTAGTTTAGCCAGACCAGTTCTGCTCACCACATTACAGGAAAGATATGATTGCACCAGAGAGGGTACAGAAGTATGTACAAAGATGTTGTCAGGAATGGAATATTTATGCCTTAGGTTGACTCACAACCTCCTCAGGGTGGGAATTCCAGGATTTTTACCCAGTGGCACCGAAGGAATGGTGATATATTTTCAAGTCAGGATTGTTACTTGCATGGAGGGGAACTTGCAGGCGATGATGTTCCCAGGTATTTGCTGCCCTTGTCCTTCCAGGTTTTGGAAAGTCTGTGGAGCCATGGTGATTTTTTGCAATGCAGCTTGTAGATAATACACCCTGCTACTGCTGAGTATCAGTGGTTGAGGGAATGGATGCTTGTAGGTGTGGTGCCATTCAAATGGACTGCTTTGTCCTGGATGCTGTCAAGCTTCTTGAGTGTTGTTGGAGCTGCATCCATCCAGGCGAGTGGGGAGTATTCCATCAAACTCCAAACTTGTGCCTTGTAGGTGGTGGACAGGCTTTGGGGAGTCAAGAAGTGAGTTACTTGCCGTAATATTCCTCGCCTCTAATCTGTTTCGTAGCCACTGGATTTATATGGCAAGTCCAATTGAGTTTCTAGTCAATGGTAACCCCAAGAATGTTGATAGTGGGGGAATTCAGTGATGGTAACATCATGGAATGTCAAGGGGTGGTGGTTAGATTGTCTTTTATTGGAGATAATCATTGTCTGGCATTTGTGTGGCAAGGGTCACCGGACCCGAAACGTTAGCTCTGATTTTTTCCTTCACAGATGCTGCCAGACCTGCTGAGCTTTTCCAGCAACTTCTGTTTTTTGTTCCTGATTTACAGCATCTGCAGTTCTTTCAGTTTTTCTTTATTAAGCATGTCACTTGTCACCCCAAGCCTGGATATTGTCCAGATGGTACTGCATATGAACATAGACTGCTTCAGAATCTGAGGAGTTGTGAATGGTGCTGAACATTGTGCAATCATCAGCAAACATCCCTATTTCTGAATTTATATTCGAGGGCCTAGGTCACCATCCTGAGGAACTCCTGCAGCGATGTCCTGGAGCTGAGGTGACTGACCTCCAACAACAACCATCTTCCTATGTATGACTCCAACTATCAGAGAATTTGATTCCAATTTTGGCAGGGCTCCATGATGCCGCACTCACTTAAGTGCAATCTTGATGTCAATGGCAATCACTCTCACCTCACCTCTGGAATTCAGTTCTTTTGTTCATGTTTGAACCAAGGCTGTAATAAGGTCAGGAGCTGAGTGGCCCTGTTGGAACCCAAACTGGGCATCAGGGAGCAGCTTATTGCTGAGCAGGTGCTGCTTGACAGCACTGTTGATGACACTTTCCATCATTTTACTGATAATTAACAGTAGACTGATGGGGCAGTAATTGGCTGGGTTGGACTTGTGCTGCTTTTTGTACAGAGGACATGCCTGGGCAATTTTCCACATTGTCGGGTAGATGCCAGTGTCGTAACTGTACCAGCAGAGCTTGGCTAGTAGAGTGCCATATTCTAGAGCTCAAGTCTTCAGTAATATTTCTGGAATGTTGTCAGGGCTCATAGTCTTTGCAGTATCCAGTATCTCCAAACATTTCTTTATTTCATGTGGAGTGAATTGAATTGACTGAAGATTGGTATCCATTATGCTGTGGACCATTGGAGGAGGCCAAGGTGGATCATCCACTGGGCACTTCTGGCTGTACATTGCTGTGAATGCTTCAGCCTTATCTTTTGTATTGATATGTTATGCTCTTCCACCATTGAGAATGGGATATCACCTTCTTCAGAGAGTTGTTTAATTGTCCAGCACCATTCACAACTGGATGTGGCAGCACTGCAGAGCTTAGATCAGATCTGTTGGTTGTGGGATTGGTTACCTCTATCACTTGCTGTTTATGCTATTTGGCATGCAAGTCGTCCTGTTGGTAGCTTCACCAGGTTGACACTCTCATTTTTAGGCATACCTGACATGCTCTCCTGCACTCTCAATTGAACCAGGGGTGATCCCCGGCTTGATGGTCATGGTTGATTGCCCACATATATGAAAAGTGTATAAAATTTTAAGGAGCCTTCATGGTTTGGAAAGAAGGTTGTATTTCCCTGATTAGAGAAATTAATGGCATGGGTCATGGATTTAAATGAATGGGTAGGATTACCTGTAAGGTATATAAAGTATTTTGTAAACACTGGTTTGACCTTTTAGAGAGACACTGCTATACTCAAGTGGATAGAAAGGAATAGACAGTAATATTGTGTTTCAAACACTTTGAGATGTCATTGAAAGAAACACCAAAGGTGGACAAAGGCATTGAGTTGTTTCACTGAAGCTGAGTCAAGACTCTACCAAAGAAGATCAAAGCTGGTGGTGACCTGTACCTTCTAGACACAGACGCAGTGAGTTGCACCCTATGCTATACCATTGTGGCAGATATAGGTATGAGCTATATCATCAAAGTTAGGTACTGATACAGTGTGAAAGGCAGATGTGGCCCCACAGTGAGCTGTAACTTAAAGGTGGATACAGGCACAGTGAGCTATAGCATCGGGAATGATATAAAGGCACTATCCAAGGTAGATAGAAGCCCTGTGAATGGTGCCATAATCTTGCCTCCTCCCTGTCACTGTAATCCCTCTAACTCTACAAACATCAGATCTCTACCAGCCCTCCAATGCTGGCCTCTTGCTGGTCAGCTCCATCACACCCTGTAAACCCACCAGAATGCAGCTGCTTGGGACTACTTTTAACTGATTCTGTGGCAGCAACAACCACAGGTCAAAGATACTTTCCTCATTCCAGATCCTGAATACATAGTTCTGCTGAAGGATCTTCGATCTGCAATATTATTTCTGTTCCTCTCAATGGACACTGCCTGACCCACTGAGTGTTTCCAGCGTTTTCTGATTTTGATTTCTTGCCCCTGCAGAATTTCACTTTTCTATAATTAAGTGACCATGTTCTGCGCCCACATAGTTCCACTTCACGGTCAATGATTGCCGCAGGTCAGGTTCATAATAACACATTACTGGGGCCAATTTGGTAACATCCAGCCTTCCATAATGCACCCTGTGTTAAATGTGAAGTCATCCAAAATTTTCATGCCCATATTTTAACTCGTACCAAGCCCTGTTCACTCAGTGCTCTGTATTGACTGACCATCATGGCCTCCTCAACCAGTAACATGTTGATTTTAAAATTTTCATGTTTAAACCCCTTCAGGGCCTATAGCTGTATCCTTCTTCAACTCTACAACCCTACAACTCTTCCAAGATCTCTACTTCTCAAATTCTGGCCTATTACACATCATGATTTTCTTTGTTCCACCATTCAGCAATCTAGGCCCTAAGCTCCAGAATTTCCTCTCTAAATGTCTGTGATACTCCTCAAAATCTCCATGATTGAACAAGATTTTGGTCATCTGTCCTAACAGCTCCTGTTGTGTCTTGGTTACATTTTACCTGATTATCTTTTATATTACATTTTTTAACATTTTGCTATGTTAAAGGCACTTAATGAATGTGAGTTGTTCTTACCGCAGTGCGGGGCAGATAATCTGGATCAGCTGGTATCCGGGCAATGATCTCGCACAAAATGATGCCATAAGCGAAGACATCCGTCTGCAACAGGGATATGTGCAATCAGAATGACTAAAGGGAGATTTTAAAGCCTGATTATTTACAGCAAATTAGCTTTACAACACAAACTTTTGTTCATGGAATGAGTGTGTTGCTGGCTAAACCAACATTTACTGCCCGTACCGAATTGCCTAAAGTGCAGTTAAGTGTGAACTATGTTGCTATAGGGGTCTGGAGTCACAGGTAGGCTAGGCGTTAGTGAACCAGTTGGATTTTTGGTCAATTGACAGTGGTTACATGATCACCATTAATAGCTTTTAATTCCAGATTTGAATTGAACTCAAATTTCCCTATCTGCCATGGTGGGATTAGGGCCCATGTCCCCAAAATGTTAGCCTGGGATTCTGGATTATTAATCTTATCACAATGCTTGCATATTGCTGCTTTTTAAAAAATTCACTGATAGGATGTGGGCACTTCTGGCTAGACCAGCATTTATTACCTATTCTAGTTGTCTTTGAGAAGGTGATGGTGAGCTGCCTTCTTGAACTGCTGCGGTCCTTGGAACATGGGGACAACTGTAATGCATTAGGGATGGAGTTACAGGATTTTGACCGAGCAACATTGAAGGAACAATGATATATTTCCAAGTCAGGGTGGTGCGTAGTTTGGAGGAGAACTTGAAGGTGGCAGTGTTCCCACGCATGTGCTGACTTTGTCCTTCTTAATGGTAGTGGTTGTGAATTTGGAAAGTGCAGTCTAAGGATCTTGCAGTGCATATTGTAGATGGTACACACTGCTTCCACTGTACCATCAGTGGTGCATGGAGTGAATGCACAAGATGGTAGATGGAGTGCCAATCAACTGGGTTACTTTGACCTGGATAGTATCGAACTTCTTGAGTGTTGATGGAGCTACATAAATCCAGGCACATGGACAGTATTCCAGTACACTCCTGATATGTGCCTTGTGGTTTTGGACAAGCCTTGCGGGGATAGAAGGTGAATTACTCGCTGCATAATTCCTCTGACCTGGTCCAGTTCAGTTTCTGGTGAACAGTAACCAGTAGGATGTCGATCATAGTGGGTAAGTGATGGTAATACTATTCAACGTCGAGGGATGATAGTTAGATTCTCTCTTTTTGGAGATGCTGATTGCCTGGCATATGTGTGGTGTGAATGTTACTTGCACATATCAGGCCAAAACTGGATGTTGTCCAGGTCTTAGTAAGTATGGGCATGAACTGTATTGGTATCTGAGTCATTGTGAGTGGTGTTGAGTATTATGTAATCAGCAGCAGACATAGCCTCTTCTGACCTTATGATGGCACGAAGGTCATTGATGAGGCAGTTCAATGAGCTATCTTTGGGAGGACGATGGAAATTTTGCTTGTATGGTCCCTACTAGTCCTTTCTCCACACTTCTCTAATGTCACCCATCAATGCCAGATTCACACTTTTTTTAAATTAAAAACATCTGTCACGTAACTTCCATTAACTTACAAAGACATAAAATAAAAACAGGAGGCCCGTGTTCACAGTGGTGTGTAGTCACATCTCTGAACAGGTTGATTAATAAAAAGTAAAAGTAATTCAGATTTTTAAAGAATATTTTGGAATTTTCACCCTGCAAACTATATTCGGGCCTAGAGATCTACAATCTGCCCCAGGTTATAAACAGTACCAGACAATCTGGTTTAGAGTCAAAGGAGGGACAGCCTATCTGCTCCAGGACCAGAGAGGGCCATACAGTCTGGTCAAAAGCCCTTTGGGCAACAGTGGGTCCCGGTGAGAGCGGTTGTGGACATAGGGGTTATGGAGCATGGAAACAAAGATATTAAATGTGTTATAAACAGTATCACTATCTCGCTCTCAAAGTCAGTGTCCATAAGAAGGTCTGTTATATAAAGTATTGCTCTTGTTCAACTCATTACACACGAAGTTCTTTGGGCATGTGTCTGCGGACTGTGATTAGGCTCAGTTCCAGTTAAAGCTTTATCAGTCTCTTCCTCAGTGCAGGATTAGGGAAATGAGAGTTAGTGGGGAGTGTTTGCTTGTTTCTTTTGGCTAAATAAAAGCAAAATATGGCAGATGTTGGAAATCTGAAATAAAAACAGGAAATGCCAGAGAAACTCAGCAGGTCTGCCAGCTGAGAGAGAAATAGTGTGAACGTTTCACGTCAGATATGACTGTTCTTCAGAACTGTTTCTTTTAGCTGCCTGATTACCTTCTCATCGTATAATTCTCCCCTCAGGACCTCAGGTGCCATCCAGTATGGTGATCCAACCACTGCCAAGGGCTCCTTCTCCCCATCACCACTAGGATAGAACACACAACAGCAGCAAGTGAGCACTTCATCTTTTTAACACTGCTGAACTTCAGGTCAATTTCTACAAACTTTATAAATGTTGAGAATAGAGGTAGAAGAATTACAATATATATACTGTTTATAATATATATAAATAAAATTGACTTGGAGTAAGGAATTGAATATAATGCAACCAAATTTGCAGATGACGAAAACAGGTGGTAAGGCAATTTACAGGAGGGATACAAACAGTTTACAGACAGATATTGATAGGTTAAATAAGTGGATAAAAAGTTGGCAAATGGAATGTAATGCGAGAAAATGTGAAGTTGTTTGTTTTGGAAGGGAGAACTGAGAACAGTATTATCCAAAATGGAGAAAAACTGCAGAAAACTGCAACACAAGGGGATTTGGGGATACTTGTGCATGAAACAGAAAGCCAGCGCACAGGTGCAGCAGGTAATCAGGAAGGCTAATGGAATGTTGGCCTTTATTTCAAAAGGGTTGGAGATAAGAGTAAATAAGTCTTTCTGCAACTGTACAAGGTGCTGGCAAGACCACATCTGGACTACTGTAAGCAGTTTTGGTCCCCTTATGTAAGAAAAAATATTATTTAATAGGAGGTAGTTCAAGGATAGTTCACTAGGATGATCCCCGGTATGGAGGGATTGTCTTATGGGTAAAAGGTTAAACAGGTTGGGACTGTACTCGTTGGAATTTAGAAGAATGAGAGGTGACCTGTTGAAACAAACAGAATTCTTAAGGGGCTTGGCAGGGTAAATGTTGAGAGGATGTTTATTCTGTGGAGTCTAGGACCAGAGGGCATAGTCTCAGAATAACAGGGTGCCAATTTATCAATAAGGTAAGGAGGAATTTCTTATGTCAGAGGGTTGCGTGTCTTTGGAACTCCTCGCCACAGAAAGCTGTGGGGACAGAATCCTTGTGTATATTTAAGGCTAAGATAGATTCTTGATCAGTAGGGGAAATCAAGAGTTACAGGGAAAACACAGGAAAGCGGATGAGAGAATTGTCATATCAACTATGATCCTACTGAATGGCAGAGCAGGCTTGAAGGTCCATGGTTCCTGCTTTTTCCCTGTAACCCTTGATCTTAACTAAAGAACCTCTATCTGCGTCTTACATACACTCAGTGACATGGCCTCCACAGCCTTCTGTGGCAATGTGTTTCCAGATTCACTACTTTCTGGGTCAAGAAATTTCTCCTCATCTTAGTTCTAAAGGATTGTCCCTCTGCTGTGAGGCTGTGCCCTTGGGTCCTAGTGTCTCCTAATAGTGAAAACATCTTCCCCATGTTCACTCTGTCCAGGTCTCTCAGTATTCTGTAAATTTCAATCAGATCCTTCTAAACCCTCATCAGTTACAGACCCAGAGTCCTCAACTGTTCCTCATATGACAAGCACTCAGAGTCTTACAGCACGGAAATAGACCCTTTGGTCCATCCAGTCTGCTCTGAACATAATCCCAAACTAAACTAGTCCCACCTGCCTACTCCTGGACCATATCCTCTGGATCATTCTTGTAAACCTCGTCTTGACCCCCTCCAATGCCAGCACATCCTACCTTAGATACAGGGCTCAAAACTGCTCACAATATTCCAAATGCAGTCTGATCAGAGCCTAATGCAGCCTCAGCAGTACACTTCTGCTCTTATATTCAAGCTGTCTTGAAATAAATGCTAACATTGCATTTGTTTTCTTAACTGTCAACTGAATCTGCATGTTAACCTTAAGAGAATCCTGAACTGGGACTCCCAAGTTACTTTGTGTTCAGATTTCTGAAGCCTTTCCCCATTTAGAAAACAGTCTATCCCTCAACTCTTCCTACCAAAGTGCATAACCTCACACTTTCCCACATTGTATGCCATCTGCCACTTCTTTACCAACTCTCCTAGCCTGTCCGAGTCCTTCTGCAGTCTCCCCGCTTCCTCAACGCTACCTGATACTGCACCTATCTTTGTAAACTTAGTAACAATTCCCTCAGTTCCTTTGTGTGGATTGTTAATTTAGGAGGTGAATAGTTATGGTCCCAACACTGACCTCTGCAGAACACCACTAGTCTCTGGCTGCCATTCTGAAAAAGACCCCCTTATCTCCACTCTCTGCCTTTTGCCAGTCAGCCAATCCCCTATCCACACTAGTACTTTGTCCTAATACCATGGATTCTTATCTTAATTAGCAGCCTCCTGTGCAGCACCTTGTCAAAGACCTTCTGGAAATTCAAACAGATCATGTCCACTGGCTCCATGTCTAACTTGCTCGTTACCTCCTCAAAGAATTCATGAAGCCAGCATGATTCAACCTTATTTTATCATGCACTTCCAAGTACTCAGCAATCTCATCCTTAATAATGGATTCTAAAATCTTACCAACGAGAGGGGTCAGGCTAAAAGGCCTTTCAAGTTTCCAGTCTTTTGCTTCCCTCCCTTCTTAAATAGGGGTATTACATTAGCCATTTTCTAGACATCTAGGATCCTCCCTGACTCCAGTGACTCCTGAAAGATCACCAGCAATGCCTCTACAAGCTCCTCAGCTAACTCCTTCAGAACCCTGGTGTGTAGTCTATCCAGTCTGGGTGATTTATCACCTTCAGACTTCTCAGCTTCCCCAGTAACAGCCACCAAACTCACCTCTGCCCCCTGACACATGAACTTCTGGTATGCTGCTGGTGCTTTCCACTATGAAAAGTGTACAGTACCTATTAAGTTCCTTCATCATTTCTTTGTTCCCCATTACTACCTCTCCTGCGTCATTTTCCAGTGGCCAATATCCACTCTTACTTTTCTCTCACCTTTTAGATATCTAAAAAACATTCAATCGTCTTTTATATTACTAGCTAACTTATTCTTATATTTCATCTTCTCCTCCCCGTCACTTAGTTGTTTTAGTTGTCCTCTGTTGGTTTTTAAAGGCGTTTTAATCCTATGGCTATCTTTGCCACATTGTATGCATTTTCTTTTGTTTTTATGCTGTCCCTGACTTCCTTTGTCAGCCATGGTTGCCTCATCCTCCTCTTAGTAAGTTTCTTCTTCCTTGGGATGAATTTTTGTTGTGCCTCTCGAACTGCCCCCAGAAACTCCTGCCATTGCTGTTCCACTGTCTTCCCTGCTAGGCTCCCTGTTTCAACTTTGACCAACTCCTCCCTCATGTCTTTGTGGTTACCTTTATTCAATTGTAATACAATTTCATCTGATTCCTGCTTCTCCCTCTCCCTCTCAAACTGCAGGGTGAATTCTATCTTATGCTCCCATGTGTACCATCTTATACATAGTACACGTGGTAATGAAGGGAATGAACATTGAAAGTGTTGTTTGTGGTGTCAATTGATTAGTCTACTTTGTCCTGGGTGGTGTCAAGCTTCTTGAAATGTTGTTGAAGTTGCACTCATCCAGGCAAGTATATAACATTCTGAAAAAAAAAAACCCTCACTTATGCTTTTTCAATGGCAGTTTGGCAATGGGGAGACAAGAGTTACTTGCCACAACATTCCTAGCCTCTGACCTGCTCTTTTAGCCAAAGTACTTATGTGGCTGGTCCAGTTTAAGTTATGGACAATGATAACTCCCAAGGATTCTCTCTTCTTGAAGATGGCAATTTCCTGGCACGTGTGGTGCAAATGGTACTTGCCACCTTTCAGCCCAATCCAAAATACAGTCCAGCTCTTGCTGCACTTGGAGACTGACTGCTGCGGTATCTGAGGAGTTGTGAATAATCTGAAGATTATGCAGTCATCAGCAAACATCTTCATTTCTGACCTTATGATGGAGAGCTCATTGATGTAGCAGCTGAAGGTGGTTGGGCACTAAGTCACTACCCTCAGTAACTAGTGCACAAATGTCCTGGAGCTGAGATGACTGACCACCAACAACCACAACCATCTTACTTTGTGCCAAGTATAACTGCAACCATCAGAGAGTTTAATCCCCAATTCCCATTGACTCCAATTTTGCTAGGACTCCCTTATGCCTCGCTCCATCAAATGCTGCCTTGATGTCAAGGACAATCACTCTCACCTTCCCTCTGGAATTCAGCTCATTAGTGTTTTGACCAAATAAAAACAAAGAGAACTGCGGATGCTGTAAATCAGGAACAAAAACAAAGTTGCTGGAAAAGCTCAGCAGGTCCG